ACAGATGTCACCGCGGCCGAATGTACCGCGATCCTAAGCCCTAGGAAAAATCCTATGTCAATGACGGCGTAAACAACTCACCTGCCGAAGCAACTAGCCTTGAAAATGGATGGCGCTGAAGCGTCGAGCCTATACTCTGCCGTCAGCGGCAAGTGGGGCGGCCGCCGCGCGCGCGGGGGGGAGTTCGCGCTCCTCTTCCGTTGTCGGCGCCGCCACGAAGCCCTGACGAGTAGGAGGGTCGCGGCGGTGTGCGCAGAAGGGTCTGGGCGCGAGCCTGCCTGGAGCCGCCGTCGGTGCAGATCTTGGTGGTAGTAGCAAATACTCCAGCGAGGCCCCAGAGGACCGCGGCACGATATCAAGGTTTAAAGTTTGAAGTATTGTTGCGTGCATGCCGCCCGGTATACCTTTCCGACACCGAGCTGAAGCGTGCAACGGAAAGTCGAATGTAACCTGTCCTTAGTAACGAGCCAGTTATTGATTTTATTGATTTAATGAAACAGCTGATATATTTGTTCTCGAGCTGCTGGACCGTGCGGACGTGGTCCACGCTCTCCTGTATCGCGACGTTATAATAAACATTGAGATTATTCTTGTTATAACTGCAGTGTTTCTGTTATTTCCGTGAGCGCCGGGAGTGTGAGCGTGTGTGAGTAAACGAACGATTCGGCGAGCGCAACAGTATAAACCTTAATATCGTCTAAATGGTTATATTTATAAAAAAAAAACAAAAGACCTTTTTTGTGGATCGTTAAATTTTTTACAAAAATATGTATTGAGTATTTCATAATTTTTGATAGTCAATATGATACAAAATTCATAAAAAGCAAATACAAGTTTTATAAAATTTATCAAACTTTAACTTTGAATATCTTTTGAACGGTTGAATTTATGAAAAAATGATAAGAGATCTTTTTTGTAGAGCGATAAATTTACTACAGAAAATCTATGTGGCGCAATGCTGTATTACTGTTTGTTAGATAGTTATGAAATTTTTTCTTACTAAATGAAAAATAAAAAATCGCGATGAGCGACCTGTTAATATTAATATTAAGAGCTAAAAATTTAACAGGTATCTTATTTTACCTTCCTGAAAATATATGGGTGTTTCTACGTAAATAGCGTTTTTTCAGATTGCAAATCTCTCAATTTCAAACATACCTTAAAAAATTTGTTTTTTCTTGTTTTTGAGTGAATATAAAAGCAGAAACATACCGTGAAAGCCAGCGTACTACAACATCAAAAACCTGAAAGTAATGGCTTATTCATCAGTGATCTGGTAAAGTGCGGTAATGAGTCGACTTTGCATGTCTAGTAAAATAATTACCTCAACAATGAGTGATTTTAAGAGGAAATGTCAAAAAAATTCCTAAAATTACTTATTCCCGAGATAACTTCACAATTAGCAAAAAAATTCAATTTGATAAATGCCGGTTTACCATTTTTGACACATTTTCTAGAGCGACTCCACATCGTGGAGTCGCTTTTTTAACCATCTGTAAATATAAAAATTATTTTATTTCAACGTTTTTTACCGTGTTTGATTTTATTTCAACGTCAAACCCATGAATGGCCAGGTGAATGACATGCCAGTAGACTGACATTTCATGGTTGAATTAATCTCACTTTCTCCTGAATTGACGTAAACCAATTTCCATTAAAAATCAAGTTTAGCCTACCGAATATCATCAGAATTTTACCACTAAAAGGAAAAATTTACTGCGATATAATAAAAAAAAATGTGCCAGGCAAATGACGCGTAATTTTATGACATACCTTTTCTCAAGTGAAATACACGATTACGATTGTATCACGCTCAAAACAACCAAGCACCAACAATGTAAACAACACACCTAATGTCCAATTTTTGAAATCTCCACACCAGACTCCCATTGAATCGATGCAACATAGCGGAACCGCGGTAAAATTCAAAATGTGCAATTTTACTCCATATGTCCGGACCAAGTTTGAAGCCGGTTTTTTCGGTTCCAAAGGGAGATTTATGTTTAATAATGATGTTAAAATCTTAGTTCTATATTATGATTGAATAAACATGGGAAATTTTTAATTGAGTTTGCAATTGGAGGGAGTAAGTGTAACTGGAATAGAGAATTTTCAACAATGGACAGGCCAGGTAACTGACATTTTTAGGAGTTTCTGCATGTTTCCATTGGATAAGCCACTCCACAATTAGCAGATTATTGTGCGATACTTCAAATACGATGCAGTAGTGAACTTTTACAACGCTTGCTTACCCTCCTCTCAATCATGAACATATAACAAGCTTGGACAGTAAAAAACGCTATTTACGTAGAAACACCCATATATGCTATTCATGAAATGAAAAAAAAAGTGCCCTAAAATGACACGCTCTAATATATATATATATATATATATATATATATGTATATATAAATTATAAAATGCAAAGTTAAAACTTTGACTTTTTATTATGAAGTCACATTATACATATAACTTCGAATTATACATAGATATAGATAAACCATACATACTCGTCACTGAGTAAAAATGGCAATCATGCGACTCTGACGCCGCCTCCAGTTACCGACTTTGACTATAAATATACCAGATACATACATATGTGTGACACCGGATATGCCTTTGCTTTGTGGTGTGTGTTGGCAGCATATGGAAGAGATCGGGAGATGCGCGGGGCCTGTATTCCGTTCCTACCTACCAATAATTGTCGGTTTAATTAAGCGTCGTTGCGCAGGTTTTTCGCATCGTATAGAACCTGCGCCAACATGGCCGACCAGGCCGACGCCATTAACGGCACTGACGACGAACAGAATATGGCCCCTACGCATGCGCTAGCAGCGCATCCCCTCCACATGCTGCCAACGCACACCAAAGCAAAGGCACATTCGTGCTGTCGAGCGTCTAAATCATTAGTTCAAACAAATAATTAATGTAAAATAAATATTCAATAAATGTTAAAAAAATTTTTTACAATAAATTGTACAATGTATAAAATTAATAAAAAATAAATATTTAAAAAAACATTGAAAAAATATAATCTGCTACTTGGGTATATATATATATATATATAATTCAAAGTTAGATGTATGTATAATGATGTATGTGGCCTCATAATAAGTTAAAGTTTTAACCTTGCATTTTATAATTTTTATCTTTTGTTTTATAATTGGGTGTCAACACTGAAACCCGATTGTCGACACCAAACTTTGGGTGTCGACACCAAAATTTGGGTGTTGACACCAAAAGTTAAGTGTCGACTCCGAAACTTTGGGTGTCGACACCGAAACTTTGGGTAACGACACCAAAATTTGGGTGTCGACACCAAAAGTTGAGTGTCGACACTGAAACTTTGGGTGTCGACACCAAATTTTGGGTGTCGACACCAAAAGTTGAGTGTCGACACTAAAACTTTGGGTGTCGACACCAAATTTTGAGTGTCGACACCAAAAGTTGAGTGTCGACACTGAAACTTTGGGTGTCGACATTCAAATGTCGGTGTTAACACTGAAAATTTAGACGTTAACACCGAAAATGGAGTGTAAACACCCAAAGTTGGGTGTAAACACCAAAATCTTTGGTGTTTTTTTCGTAAGGGCTCCAACGCCCATTTCCGTGAGAACGCAACCAATATCTTTTTTTCGTCTCTCCGATTTTTATTTACAAATAATACATTTGTGAAATTCAATAACGTTACAACAGACGCTTCTGGTATTAATTTTGTCAGTACCGTCTGAATAAACGAATCTGATTTTTATTGTAATCAGTACCGTCCGAATAGACGCTTCTGACATTTATTTTTATTTTATTTTTGTATTATGGGCCCCTCCAACGCCCATTTCCGTGAGAACGCAACCAGTATCTTTTTTTCGTCTCTCCGAATTTTATTTACAAATGATACATTTGTAAAAATCAGTAACGTTACGCTTCTGGCATTTTGTCAGTACCGTCAGAATAAACGTATCTGATTTTTATTACAATCAGTACCGTCCGAATAGACGCTTCTGACATTTATTTTTACTTTTTTACCCAGGTATGTTTTCAATATTCAAATATCTTTCTAAATATTATTGCAGTGTACGTAACTTTCTAAATAATTCTAAATAATAATCGTATGTTTTCATTGTCTTGTGAAAGGCAACAGTTCATTTCCCTCTATAATTTTCATAAAGTGTTGTCTCATGCACTTTAAGTTCTTGAAATATTTTTGTTGAGAAGGAGCCCAAAGGGGAGTCCTCATGTGCATGGGCGATGAAAACGGGCGTTTGTGAACGCTTTGATAGTCTTCCTTCTCCTCTATATATACTATATGGCAGTCCGACAGTCCGCCTTTACACCAGCCTCATGTAACACATCTTTTCACACGTCTTGTATTCTACATTAAATATCCGATCTTAAGTAAAACTGTATTACTCACTTATCAACCTAACGACAATTTTTCATCACAAGGATTGCCTCTTAAGGCTACAGTTGCAGCAAAAGTTGCGGCGTAAATTTCGCAACTTGTACCGTCTGGTTGTGCATCGACTTTCTCAAAAATAATATCACTTTGCCTTATTTTTGGATATCGACGCTTTATATATTCGCTTTCCTTGAGCACTAATCTGTTGTATGTACAGCCAGGTATACTGTCATATACGAACAGTTTGGTGCCATCACAAAATATACATCGCCAGTGTTGAATTCCCTCTGCAAAGTATTTATTTTTTCCTTTAATTATTTGTAAGCTTAAATCGCTCTTACTAGCGTCAATATAATCAGGCAATCCTTGATACTGTACACTTTGCGTTTCAAAAGGAGTACTTTGTCTCACAATGCGTAAAAATTCATCTATTGATTCGTCCGTTAGTTCGTCTCCGGACAAGACATTCTGTCTCATAATAGAAATAGGTATAATAACTTCATCTAAATTTATCATTCGTCTTGCCTTATCCTCTTCGGTTATATCTCGCTTGTACACGGAGAGAAATGTGTTTTGATTATCGCACGAGTTAGCCGATGCGATGGTAACATAGATCGCGCTGTGCGCTAGAAGCGCCACGCTCGATCTATTAACCCACGGAATAATTCGATTGCAGTACAGACTTGTGGGACTCTATGCATAGTCTATGTTCGTGGCAAATGAGAATGAGACCCATGCGACTGTCGCCCCGTCTATGAGTCTTTATCACACTAGTCGTTAGCTCTAATACCCCCCATCACGCCGTGCAAAATTCGCTCGAGGGCCATACGCTTTTAGCATGGGCCTGCGAGTAAAGATTATTGCGTAATTATTGCAAAGAAGCGAACGAGCTGGTACGTTCATGGTGTTCATGGTGTAGTGCACAGATTGATAACCGTGGTACGTGTAAATATACGAAAAAGGTAATTAAAGTATTACATATATTATTTATTGTATTAATTGCAAAAAACACCTTCTTCCTTCCTAGAGCAAATTATGTCGCTTCCAAACACATTCCTTTCGTCAGATCACTCAAATGATTCATTTATATTACTTGATGTAGATTCCGGCCCATCAGTGCAAACATCGAATTTATGTAATTCAAGTAATGTAGGCAAGTTTAAAAGAAAAGTGCTTTTATTAAAACCATTACATATATTCTTTGTAAGTTAGAAAATAATACTATCGTCAGTTAACATGTATTTAGAGATTGCTAATTTTTCTGAACTCGCTGTGATTCTAAAGATATAAAATATTGCCACAAAAAAAGATGCGTCAAGACCCGATAAGATCTAAAAAAACAAATATTCCAAATAACACAAAATAATTCCAAATATTTTCTTTCCATTTTATACTTATCTGATAATATTAACCTAATGAGTATATTTCAAATTTGAACAGAATTAGTTCAAAAAGTGCATGTTAAGACATCCTAGCTTTTTTGGCAGTAATCAATGCCTATAATAGAATCACTGTGATAGCTGAATCTACTATGCATTATAATAATAATGACAATTAAACTTATTACTTTCTTATGTATATATAGATATTACCAAAAAAAGATCTTCGAATTACATTTATCAAGTTTTAATGAAAACTTATGATGGAAGCAGTCAAATAGACATGTATGATTTTGAAGCCACAAAAGAAAATTATGAGAAACTGTTGGAAACTAAAAAAAAAACATATTTTTCCAAAAACAAGGTGGCAAAGTGTATTATTGGTGATGAATTTCATCGAACAAAATCACTAACGTAAATTAGATTACATTTAAAAAATAAGAAATATATTTTGAATGAATATTGCAAGCATATTTTTTCATTGTAATCAATTTTACAGTATATCACCAGACAGACTTGAAGAGTTAGCTGAAATCACTGTCCAACTATTCACATTGCACTTAAAAGAAAGCTACTACGTACGATCAGGAAACGGTAAAAGTGCAAGTGGAGCCTTTCAAATCGTCTACGCAAAAGAACGAGAAAAAGCTTTTGCCATTGGCAAATTAGAATTGCAACCAAATCGAAAGAGAAAAAGAAGTTCAGAAGGTGTGTGATTTTTTAATTTATTTACGTACTTTCAGTGTAATATGCCTGATTTTCATGATGAAAACAAAACATTTGTACAATATGGGACGTTTTTTAACTATAAATATAAAGTTTCTCTTTGAAATCAATAATTTTATAGACATTACAAATGAAGAAAATAGTTATACAAATTATATATAAATATTACTAATATTTTATATAAATGAGGTAATTGGTATTCTTTCGACGTTTACTCACATACTATTGTATTATGTAATTATTATTAATTATTTTTTAGATAATCTTGAATCGTCTGAATTACAAGAACTGTTAAAAAAAGTTGAAATCATAGATAATGATTTCCGCCAGAAATGGTGCCACACTGCACTGACAGAAAGAGTGGAGTTTTATAAAACCTCAGATTTAAAAACAATTTTGAATAAATTTCAAAACTACTGCAATCCTTCAGGATATCTCTTGGTTAGCAATATTAAAAAATTCTTTTTTAATCAAAACATAATGGAGTGTAATGTAGCAACTTGATTTTCGGTTATTTTTATTTTCAGATCAAAGCTGATTTCTGTACGTATTTTAAAAAATCGAGTGAAGAATTTACACAAAAGTGGCCTGACTTAGCCAAAAAAATAATAAAAATTGCTCAGACAAAAAAAAAAGATATAGAGATAAATAATATCCTGACAAGCAACTTACCAACAAAAGGAGAAGGTCAGTTTAATCTTCTGAATAATACATGCCACTTTAATTTGTAAATAATATTCATTTCCCAATTTATTTTCAGAACATACCCAAACAGTAGCGTTAATTTTATTACCACATTTATTTAAAAGAATAACCAAATTAACAACTCGATCAAAATCAAAGACGGCCTGGATTCCTTCTGTATTAGAAGTAAAAAAATCGTTCATTTATTACATAAAGGTAAATCCTTGAAGTTTAACGACGTTAGGCGTTTTCCAATAAATAATTTCAACTAATTACCGCATGCAAATATCTATATACAAATAATTATTATGTGCAAATTAATTACAATATACATTATATACAATTAATTATATACAAATTATTATTTACAAATGTTATTATTATTATTTTACTGTATACAAATTTATATACAAGCTTATAGATATATTATTACTGCGTAGGTTTAAGCCCACATCGAAAAGCAGTTAATTCAGAAAAATAAATCGAAAAAAATAGCTATTACTAATAAATAATAATGAATAAATAACATCAAAGCACTTTATAAATAATAATACTTTTTACAGGACATTGACGATTTCAACAGAACTTTACAAGATGCGAACCAAGATGTGCTTAATCTGTATGCAGAACATAAGCTGCCCATAGCACCTTACGTTGTTGTGATCGGTTCTTCACTAGCTGACATAAAATCAGCGTATGTCGTTCTGAACGAATTCACGTATCAAGTCGCAACCGCAGCGCTGGCAGTTGATTTGTATATACAGTCTATGAAAATCTTTCACCAACCATTTCCATTAGCAAGCAATCACGTATGGCAATTTTTGGAAACAACTATTTATGATTTTAAAGTTAAACCATACAGCGGAGTAACATCTCTCATTGAAAGAATCCAGAAATTGTAGTTTTAAGTTTAAATTTAAGATATTTTTTATATGCAAATAATTTTAATTATTGATATAATTATTTTTAATTTTTGATATTTTATTCATTGAATTTAGAACGGATAATTTTAATATAAATGTAAATGTTTTTTTGGCTAACTGACAAAATATAGTTATATAGTTGCACATATATTTTTTTCTAAACTCATTCATTTACCGATAATATGGATATTCCACAACAAATTGATAATAAAATGAATCAAGATATAACGCTAGAGACAATGCATACAGAAATGTTGAAGTTTACTCTGGGTTTATACAATAATCCTTTGCTTTCGCGTAAAGCTGTTGATAATGTCATTGCTACTTTTAATACCTTTCTTTCAGACATATTTGTTCCTTTTTTGCAAAAGTCGATGGAAAATGAATTGAAACCGCTGACAGACTCAAATAGTTATTATAAAACGCAATTTATTTTAGAACAAAGCAGAAATATATTTCAGAAATATTGTACAGAACATTCGCGATTTAACATTTACAACAAAGAAAGTGCGTATGTTCATCCTGAAAGTTTCCAAATTGGACAGGAACCTGTTTATGTCAAAGAGTCGCAAAAAGAAGCAAATCAAAAGTCAAATGTAAAAGTAGAAATGAAATCTGTTTATGCCGTACATATTCCTTTAAAAAATACCTTAAAAACAATTCTTCAGTTACCAGGATTTTACATTGAAATGAAAGAATACGTTGGTAAACTGTCAAAAGATACAACAATTTTATCAAATTGTATGCAAGGGGACTTGTGGTTGAAAAAATATCACTTAAATAAAGATAAAAATGTTTTACCAATGTTCTTGTATTTTGATGAATTCGAAGTTGGGAATCCACTTGGAAGTCATGCAGGTGAACAAAAGTTAGGAGGCATATATGCTTCATTGCCTTGCTTGCCCCCCCACTTATCTGCTAAAGTTGATAATATTTTTATTTCCACTATTTGTCATTCTAAATACATGAAACAATTCGGCAATGAACCAATATTTCGTGAGACAATCAATGATTTGAATAATCTATATGAAAATGGATTAAATATTCGTGTCAACGGTGAAGACATTACTGTTTATTTCCAATGCCTTTTCATAATAGGTGACAATTTAGGTTTAAATAGTACATGTGGATTTTCAGAAAGTTTCACTGCAATGCATTATTGCCGGATTTGCACAGCCACTCGCTTGCAATGTGAAGAAATGATCGTAGAAGATACAAAGCTACTTAGAACACTTGAATCGTATGAAAATGATGTATTGAAAAATGATTTCGCAAACACAGGCATAAAGGAGCGATGTGTTTTCAACAAAATTCACAATTTTCATATTGCCGAGAACATGACTGTGGATGTTATGCATGATTTTTCTGAAGGGATTGCAGTTTATACGGTTGGACAAGTGCTACAAAACTTGATAGAAGAGAAAATAATATCTTTGGAAACTCTTAATAATACTATCGAAACCTTTCCTTACAATGAAACTGAAATTTCCAATAAACCGAGACCTTTCTTCTTTATCCAAAATGAAAAAGGAGGTAAAAAATTAAAAGTTAAACAGTCAGCTTCAGAAATGCTCTGTTTGACAAGATATTTAGGACTTATGATTGGCCATTTAATTCCGGCTAGAAATAAATCTTGGAAACTGTATAGATATATTAGGCAAATACTTGGAATTATTATGTGTCCAACTTTAAATAGGGGTGAAATCGATAATCTGCAGCATCTCATTCAGAAGCATAACACGTTATACATTGCACTTTTTGGTAAATTAAAACCTAAAATGCATATCTTGATTCATTATCCTAGGATAATGTTGTTGAATGGTCCTGTAATTAATTTTTCATCGATGATGTTCGAGAGAAAAAATAAAAAATTAAAAGAAGTTGCTCTCGGTACAACGTGTAGCACAAACTTACCTCTCACTATTGCTATACGTCATCAATTGCAGTTATGTTATAGAAAAGAAATGTGTGCAAATATATTTGGGGATGTTTTACTTGGGCCTGTCAAAAATGTTAATGCAGAAACTGAGTTTAAAATGTTCACAAACCTTCAAATACAAACACCCGTACAAACTTTAAAATATATACAAATTCTCAATCATACATTTTCAGTGGGAACAACATTAGTAACAAGATTTACTGATGAGTACCCACAGTTTGGTAAAATAAAAGATATTTTTTATTGTAATAAAAATGTATACATTTCAATCAATGAATATGACACGTTATATTTCAATAATTATTATTATGCATATTGCGTCAATTCAAATAACGACAAACCAAAAATTCTAATCAATGCGCAGCTTATTCCACGATTACCACCTTGCTTATATATTGTAAAAAATGAATGTGAACTGATAGCGACTAGATTTAATGTATAAGTTAAATGAATAAATAAACAAATCAATATTGATAAAATAAACTAAAATATTTCTTTATTGTCACAAAATTACTAAACTTGGTCATACTCTCGTAGCTCCTCATCCCTGAAACGTAAATCACAAAATTGAACATAATTTTTAACAAAGCACCGTATCCAATACTATTTATAATTTTCCTTTCTTTCATTACTCTCATTACCTTCATTACCGAAAAAATCCATCGTTCTCCATTTCCTGCAGTCAATTCGACCGAATCTATTTTGGAGATAACCTGCACGATTTCATTTCAAGCACGTTAAACGCATTATTGTCGACTTTAACACATTGTTCTCACTTTGAAAACATGTCGTGTAATTGGCAGATGCCAGAATAGCATTCATCGCGCACGGATGCGCACGGACTCACGCCCTCATCCTCGTATGGCTCACACTGCCTCACATTTCATCCTAAAAACGCATGGCTCCCGAGCGAATTTTTCACCGCATGGTGGGGGGTATTAGGGCTACCAACTTGTGTTATAATAACACATAGACGGAGCGATACGCGCATGCGTCTCATCCTCATTTTCCACAGATATAGACTATGGTAGAGTTTCGCAAGTCTGTGCTGCAATAGATCGAGCGTGGCGCTTCTAGCGCACAGCGCGATCTATGTTACCATTGCATCGGCTAACTCGTGCGATAATCAAAACACATTTCTCTCCGTGTAAAAGCCGAACATTTATTCCAAAATCTAACGCTGTTTTTATGAAAAGATTCTCGCTCAATTTGTATTCGTTTAATCGCTCTAAATATAATTTTATTCGATATGTCTACCTTATCCGTCTTAAGAAAAGTCTTTCTTTTGTAGTTACGCACCATTATCTATTTATAAAAGAACAATTCGTCATCGAAGTGTGGACACATTGCCCCATCAAAAATAAAACAGATAGCCTCGACCACGTTTTTCAGTCTTTAACATGTTGCCAATTTTAGATAATGCGGAATTAAGATTTGACACTTCTCACACGTGATAACTATATATTAATTGATAATATTATGAATTGCTTACTTTAATTTGAGTTAAACTACTGCCGCACAGCAAATTTTTCGACCGTCAAAAAATGTAAATAATTGTTTTCGCTTTTCTTTTAACGTATATAGCGTCTGCGAGAGGCATTACAAGAAAACAAACAACATTTAAATATCTTATGTAGGGTATTTTTCAACTACTTGTTACAATGGTAGAGATATCTGTCTCTTAAAACTTGAGATAGCAGTACTGTGGACACATAGCCCCCGTAGACAGATAGCTCCGGTCTCCCCTATATAGTTAAAATATAAGTAAAATATAATAAATATAATAAATATAATTAATAAATAATTATTTTATTAATATATTCAATAATGGCATATGTACAAAACGTTTCTATGGTTTTACTATTTTATATGTGCAATGCAGTCGCGTATTTGTGTACAATTTGTGTGCAATGTGATATACTTTTGTATGCAACTTGCATACGTGCAATATAACAGTAGATGTACTTATACACAATTAAGCGATGTTGTTGGCAATCTTCTTATAAGTAAACGGGATTTTCCCGAAGACAAATGTAGCAAAGATAAAAATATATTTTGCATATTATGTATATAATCAATATAATATTATGATCAAGATAATATAGTACGATCAACATTATTATACTTGTTTTAATCGTCAAGGATGTATGTGTCACATCTCAAAGTATCACCAAAAATCTAAAAATTTTATAGATTGTTCTATTATTACGTCTAAATATCTGTGAAAATTGAGCACAATTTTCTTATTTGTTTAAAAAATATTTGATTTTTTTGTTTGCATTGATTCTTATATATCTCGGGATTGGCTGCACCAATCTTATTCGGATTGGTTGCTTGTATCAACATTATATTTAAAAAATATTGTTAGATTTTTTATCGCGACTTTCGTTTCTAAGATATTTTAATAGTATTACGAATTTTAAATCAAATTTTATATATACATATATGCTAATAAAACTCTAATAAATTTTGTGCAAAAGTTCATTTGGATCCATTTATTTGTTTAAAAGTTATTTACCTAAAACAGTAGCAAAATATCAAATAAATATATTTATGCAACACGTGCATGGAAAGTGCCCCATTACGCACGCTACGCGTGCGTGATAGACTACTTACCAGGCACTTGCAACATAAAATAGGAAGTGTAAGTCGTGTGTAAAGATAAAAATTCCCGGGTGCGGAGTTTACGCACGAGCCTTCGGCTATCTTACGACACTTGTTACACAAATAACTATTATATTACACGTGCGTCGAAAGTGGCCTATTCCGTGCGCGCCATCTGTGCGCGAAATAGCCAATTCCATGCATGAGAGATTTCTCATTATATTCCCGCACTCAGTGCGGGAATATAATGAGAAATTTCATTCCTGCACGACTCATTGCCAACACTCTCTTTATTTTCCCCACTCATTCTGTGTCTTTTCCACTAGAGTCCTCTTATTTCTGACATGTTCTTAACGCCATCTCGCGGCGCACTACGCGAAACACTACGCGTGTTTCCGTGCGCCGCGAGATGTCGTTAAGATTCTTCAACTTCAACCGAATTACTACAGCGATACTCATTGTCAG